ATACCCTTGACTGGAATGGAACCCACAACCTTCTGTCCGCGGGCAGACCTCTAACCACTTAGCAAAACCCACCAGGGCCCAAGTTTATTTTTTATAAGCCCCAATAATATATTATGTTGCAACCCAGAGTTCATATATGTTCTAAAACAAAAGTTTCCAAACAGTACTGTCCTAACCTTGTATAGTACTAGTATATACAGTCTAATATTTATTACTTTGTTCTAGTCATTTTTTAATGTTAGTTGTGACCTAACTGGTTATAGTCTACTGTTTAAAGATCACAGCACAGTCAGGCCAGTATGGTTTGGGTTGAGCGTCTACTCAGGAGTAAAATGGTCACTGGTTTGATCCTAGTTAGAGCACATGCCAGGTTTTGGGCTCAGTCCCCAGGGACTGATAGATTATGTTTCTTTCTCATAGATGTTTCTATCTCACTATCCCTCTCTCTTGCTCTCTCTCGAAAAACCAATAAAAACATTTTTTTAAAATCTCTGCACAAAGGACCTCTGATTTCAACAAACTGTGACATTCTAAGATTCTGAAAAGTAGGTAGTAATACTTCACTTTACTCTGATTCTTCTCAAACACTCCAGCCATTCTCCACCATTACAATAAGCTAATGGGAGAAGGTGTCAGAAGTTGGGAAAGAAAGGAAAATGATGCTATTTTTACCACATTCTGCTACCTGTCTTGCTGTTAGCTTTAATAGTCTGTCATTTATTCCCTGTGAAATAAATTTGACTTACCTTAATAAAGGATGTATTAATCATACTAGTTGTATCAGTCAGTGTCCAACCAGGAGACAGAAACCACACAGGAATTTGAACAGGGAAAGTCTAATGTAAAGGATCATTAATTATAATGTGGACTTAAGAGTAATAGAAAATTAACTAAGAAGTAAAGAGAACACTGAAGAATACAGTAAGCAAGTAAAGGGCATAGCTACTACCCGTAAGACTGAGGCAGAACATGGAAGGAACAAATCCGGCATCCATATCTCCTTGGAGGGGCATGGTTGAGGCCTACTGGATGGCAGAGAATTTCATTGAGAGGCCAAAAGTACTACATGGAAAATTCCGGAGAGAATTCAGTAAACAATTCATAAATTTTAAATTGTATGCAGACCTGAGTAGTATGATGTTATCCCATGCTTTCCCACTGTATCCTACCCAGCCATGAATCATCCTTTGTCCAGTGTCTCCACATTGTAAATACTTGCCGCCAATTAGTCCCTCAGTGGCCATCTGGATTATCAGATCAGCTGTGGTGGCATTGCAGTGCTCATGTTCAGGTCACCTTATTTTACTTACCGATGGCCCCAAAGCGCAAGAGTAGTGATGCTGACAATTTGGATATGCCACAAAAAAGCCATAAACTGTTTTCTTTAAGTGAAAGGTGAACGTTCTGGACTTAAAGGTGGGGGAATCATATTCTGAGATTGCTAAGATCTATGGTGAGAACAAATCTACCTGTGAAATTGGGAAAAGTGAAAGTCATGCTAGTTTTGCTCAGCCTCAAACTGTGTTAAGTTATAGGTACAGTTCATAAGTGCTTAGTTAAGGTGGAAAAGACATTAAGTTTGTGGATGGAAGATATGAACAGAAAATGTGTTCCTATTGACAGCAATGCGTTACATCAGAAAGCATTGTGCCTTTAGGAAGATTTCAGCAAGGGATCCCCTGAAATGAGTGACCACGTTCAGATAACCTTTATTGCTGTATGTTATTACAATGTTTCTATTTATTATTTATTGCTAATTTCTTACTGTGCCTAATTTATTTATTTATTTTTTAAATATATTTTATTGATTTTTCACAGAGAGGGAGAGAGATAGAGAGCTAGAAACATCGATGAGAGAAACATCGACCAGCTGCCTCTTGCACAACCCCTACTGGGGATGTGCCCGCAACCAAGGTATATGCCCCTGACCGGAATCGAACCTGGGACCTCCCAGTCCGCAAACCGACGCTCTACCATTGAGCCAAACCGGTTTCGGCTTACTGTGCCTAATTTATAAGTTAAACTTTATCATAGGTATGTACATATAGGAAAAATCACAGTATAAATGGGTTCAGTACTATCTACAGCACATGTGTCAAACACAAGGCCCGCGGGCCAAATCCGTCCCGCCAGGCCTTGCAATGTGGCCCGCACCGCGCTGTCATCACTGCACTCCGCTGCATTTCCATCACAATGACAGTTTATGACTGTTCAGTAAACCATTCGGCCCGCGATTTAGGCTGGATTTTAGATTTTGGCCCCTTCTCTTATTGAGTTCGACACCCCTAATCTACAGTTTCAGGCATTCACTGAGGGTCTTAGAATGTATCCCCCAGATAAGGGAGACTGCTGTGCAAAAGGTGAATGTTACTGCTTTTAAAGAAGGAAGGTGGATGTATGAACTGACAAAGCATAATTTGAAGAGTGCTTAATACAGTACGTATAGAATATTCTGGCTTGGGCACGGGATAAAGTGTCAGCTTGCCTTTAGGCATTGGGGAACAAAAAAGGAGGAGATATAGTATCTCTTATTTTCCACATGCTAGCTCTTGTATTCTCACAATAGTCTTATAAATAAGGTAAGTGGTAATATGATAACCTTCTATACAGTTATGAAGTAGCAATGAAAATAATTTTATGGTTGGGGGTCACCACAACATGAGGAACTATATTAAAGGGTCGCAGCATTGGAAAGCATTAGAGAACTGCTGATTTATACTAATAGCCTAGCCCTTATGCTATAATGCCCTCATACTGTCACAAGCTGGCTGTGTGTGCGGAGGAGGCGGCGCCCGGTGGCTGTTCCATGCGGCTCCAGCCTATCTCTTTGGGGCAATTAATTGAGGAGCCCTGGGTGGATGGGTGGAGCCTACTTCTTTGAAGCGATTGATCACGGGGTTACCGCACTGTGAGAGGTCACAGGCCAACCTCCCCCTCACCCCTCCGAGTGCATGAATTTCGTTCACTGGCCACTAGTCCTATATAATAAAGAGGTAATATGCAAATTGACCATCACTCCAACACATAAGATGGCCGCCCCCATGAGGACACAAGATGGCTGGCAGGGAAGGGCAGTTGTGGGCGATCAGCCCAGCAGAGGAGGGCAGTTGGGAGGGACCAGGCCTGCAAGGAAGGCAGTTGGGGGTGACTGGGCTGGCAGAGGAGGGTAGTTGTGGAGGACCAAGCCTGCAGGGGGGCAGTTACAGGAGACCAAGCCTACAGGGCAGGGCAGTTTAGGGGAGGACCAGGCCTACAGGAGAGTGCAGTTAGGGGGTGTCCAGGCCTGCAGGAGAGGGCAGTTAGGGGCAATCAGGCCAGCAGGGGAGCAGTTAGGCATCGAACATCCCTCTCACAATCCAGGACTGCTGGCTCCCAACCGCTCTCCTGATTGCCCCTAACCGCTTCTGCCTGCCAGCCTGATCACCCCATAACCATTCCCCTGCCAGCCTAATTGGACCTAAATGGGCAGTTGGACATCCCTCGAGGGGTCCCAGGGTGTAGGCTGACCTGAGGGACAGACCCCGCCAGTGCATGAATTTCACCCACCAGGCCTCTAGTCTGTATAATAAAAACCTAAGCAACCATTATGGCAGAATGACCAGAATAACTGGTCACTATGATACGCACTGACCATCAGGGGGCAGACGTTCAATGCAGGAGTTGCCCCCTGTTGGCCAGTGCACTTTCAAAGGGGGAGACTCCCACGCCTCCATGGTGTGCTAAGGAGTAGCAAGCTGGTGGGCAATAAGGAGTGAGGGGTCCTGGACTGCAAGAGGGCACAGACTAGACACCCCTCTCCCTCCTCTTTCCCCCCTGCCCTCCTGCATGAATTCTGTGCACTGGGCCTCTAGTTATATAAATAAGCAGACAAGGCGTAGAGACCTGAAACAACCTTTTCTACCAGTATCATACACAGGATTCAAATGTAATCCAGTATATTTGTTATCTCTTAAATTGGTGTTATACTTTGAAATGCAGAAAGCTACAATAGTAAAAGTTGACCAAATGTAAAGCAAATGGACTAGGCACTACTAAGAGGGATTTAAATTCTCTTCTGTTACTCATTCTAATAACACTTTATTCTCTTCTTTCAAATGGTGATTATTACAATTATTTCAAATTACAGCTCATACAAATTATTTGGCCATTCATCCTGTTTAATTTCTCTACATGTATTAAACTTTAAGGATAGAAGCAAAACAGTTTTCCACACAATTGTATTTTCAAGTCTCTGGTGCCGTGCATAGTTAGCATTCAATAAAGACTTTTTTAGTAAATGAATGAATGAATGATGTCTGCCGTTAGTGTTTTATAGAAGTGCAGGATGCTATCAAGCAAGCAGACTTGGTCTAGTTGAGGATAAGTGCCTGAAAATGAATAAGAGTTGGTGTTATTGATGTTCTATATACAATTCTGATCAGAAGGCAAGTAGGACGAATATAGAAAATAGGCCTTTAATTTAGGAATGTGGAAGTTATTTATAACCTTAATGCAGTGAAATTTGGAGGTAGAGTGAAGGAATGCAATTCAGATTAGAGCTCATCCTGAAATGAATTAGAAGATACAAGAGCTTTTCCAGAAAAGTTGATCCAAACACTGCTAGCTTATTTATTTACTAGAGACCTGGTGCACAAATTCATGCGTGGATGGGGTCCCTCGGGGTGGCCTGCGAGGATTGGTCCCTAGCTCTCTCCCCCAGCCTTGGCACCCCACAGTGGACTGGCACCGCCCGTTCACCTGCTCCACCATTCTGCTGTGGTCCCGCTCTCTTGCATGAAGCCTGACCAGGAGGGTACATGCCATTTACTGAAATCAAACCTAGAACCCTTTGGTCTGCAGGCCAGCCCTCTACTCTCTTAAGAAATGAGTGCATTGAGAAGTCATGGTAGATTGTTCACAGAGCACCGGAAACCCTGACTGCCTGTTTTCCTTGTGCTTTTGTAAAAGTTCTTAACTTCGGTGAATTTGATGTCTTAATTTTTATTTTTTTTTACTTTCAGGTGTTGGTAAATCATGTTTATTGCTACAGTTTACAGATAAGAGGTTTCAACCAGTGCATGACCTTACTATTGGTAAGTTTTATAAAAAAGATGAGAAGCATTAGAAAGTTTTGGGTAGTGGAAATGGAATATGCTTCCAATCTCTAACAAATAGGGTCCAATTGAATAGTTACGAGTAAAAAAAAAAGTCAATGAAACTCGATATGTCGCTGTGCAGAGTTCAGTCTCCATCACTTTTTTTTTTTTTAATAATGTATAAATATTGGTTTATTAATTGTGACAAATGTACCATACCAACAACGTAAAATGTTAGTAATAAGAAAAACTGGGTGTAGAATATACAGAAACTCTGTACTATCTTCACAATTTTTCTGAAAAAATCTATAGTAAAATATTCTAAAATAAAAACATTACTACTAAACAAACAAACACATACATAAAGTGTTTGTGGGGAGGGTGGTAATGAAACTAGTCTTCCAGGTTAGGCTAAAAAAAAAAAAAAAATGAAAGAATATCTGGTGATTCACCGGCTAGTGGGTCGGGTAGAGGAACCGGGATGAAAGGTTATTGCCAGATTTCACGCCTGGACATCGTGACGGACAGAGGAGCTATTCGCTGGGAAAGGAGCAATGACCATGAACCAGATGTGGAGGGGAAACTAAGCATCTACTCGAGGCCCCCTAGGTGCCAGGAGCTTTTCAAATTCTTACAATCATTCTGCACCGCAGGCACATCATTTGGCCCAAAGCCAAATCAATCTCCATCACTTTTAAAAAATATAGGTATAATTAATATTGCCAATTTTGTAAAAGTGATTGAAATGCAGCTAACTTTTATTGTTTAAAGTATTACATATATTCCCCTTTGTTCCCCATTGACCCCTTCTAGCCTTCTCCTGCCCCCCATCCCAGGTTTTCCCCACACTGTTCTCTGTGTCTATGGGTTATGCACATATGCATACAAGTTCTTTGATTAGTCTCTTCCCACCCACCCAAGACATTAGTAATGTTTTTTATTGTGTTTACTGATTAAACAAATGAGAGACAAGATAGCATAGGGATTAGAAGCATCTTAGAGCCCTGGAAACAGCAATTGTACAGTGGTCCTGCTCTATCCATTGAGCCATACCAGCTATGGCAATAATTGTGGCTCTTGATCTCACATCTAGTTGTTTTTATATTACAAAGCCTGTGAAATATGAAGATGATGGTTGGTGTCTTGACTACCCTAGCCTTGAATATCAGTGTTTTAATTATGTCCTTAGCTTATGTCTTTCTTTTTTAAAATATGTTTTTATTGATTTCAGAGAGGAAAAAGGAGAGAGGAAGGAAGGGAGGGAGGGAAGGAGGAAAGGAGGGAGGGAGGGGAGAACCATTGATTGGCTGCCTCCTGCACACTCCCTATTGGGATCAAGCCTGATATGCCCTTGATCTGAATCGAACCCAGGACCCTTCAGTCCACAGGCCAATGGTCTATCCCAGCTTATGTCTTATTAGCACCTCTGCCTTAGCTTATATGTTTACTCAGGATAGGAGCTGTATTTGTAAAAATCCATCTGAATATTACCTAGTACAGGATGTCCTCCAATTAAACATCTGTTTCTTTTTAATACTTAAATGTGAAATATATTCCCACTAGATTATGTAACAAATCATCTTCTACTCTATTCAGGTGTAGAGTTTGGTGCTCGAATGATAACTATTGATGGGAAACAAATAAAACTTCAGATATGGGATACGGTAAGTATAGCAAAAATACATTGTATGACTTGAGTGAAGTTCTATGAAAGTACATTGTGTGTTTATTTTGTTTTCATGTTATTTTATGCCTGTTATGATTTGTTAAACACAAACACCCCGACAGCCATGAGATGAAATGTAGTACCAGAAAGATTAGTTTTTTTCCTTTTTTTTTTTTTTTTAAATCCTCATCTGAGGATATGTGTCTTTATTTTAGAGAGAGGGGAAGATGGGGGGCGGGGGAGTGAGAGAGAGAAACATCCATGTTAGAGAGAAACATCCATCAGTTGCTTCCCATACATGCCCTGACTAGGAATCGAACCTTTAGTCTTTCAACCCACTAAGCCACACTGGCCAGGGCAAGATTAGTTTTTATGCACTATTTTCAACAGATGTACCCCAACTATTGGATGTTCGTGAACATGAATGCTCAGGCTGTGGTCTAAACATAAATACTACAGAAAATATGTTTTTAAGAAAAACAAGCATCATGTCTGAAATACACATGTGAGGTAAAATATGAATGCCAACACCGTAGAACCTTGATCTGACATTGCATTAATTTTACAAGTTTGATTTAGTGTCAACCACTTGAAGCCACCTTGCTTTCAATCCTGATTCTAACATTTACGTTCACTGACTGCCTATTATATTACTGGCTATATAATTTTTAAAAATCTTTTTATTGAATTTATTGGAGCGACATTGGTTAATAAAATTATATAGGTTTCAAGCCCAGCTAGTGTGGTTCACTGATTGAGCACTGACCTATGAACCAGGAGGTCATGGTTCGATTCCAGGTTGCAGGCTCTATTCCCAGCTGCAGGAGGCAGCTGATTAATGATTCTCTCTCATTTTTGACGTTTCTATCTATCCTCCCTTTCTTTCTGAAATTAATAAAAATGTATTTTTAAAAATTACATATTTTCAGGTGTGCAGTTTTATAATACACCATCTGTATATTGTGTTGTTTTCACCACCACAAGTCACATCTCCTTTCATCACCATTTATCCTTCTCTTTACCCTCTTCTCCCCTTCCAAGCGCCCTTTTCCCTCTGGTAATCACCTGAGTTTTTTTCCCTTTGCTTACTCTACTTGACTTTTTTCACCTAGCCCCTCTCTCCTCTGATAGCTGTTCATCTGTTGTTCTCTGAATCTATGAGTCTGTTTTCTATTTTGCTTGTTAGTTTATTTTGTTCATTAGATTCCACATGTAAGTGAAGTCTTAAGGTATTTGTCTTACTCTGATTAGCTTATTTCACTTAGCATAATACTCTCCAGGTCTATCCATGCTGTCACAAAAGGTAAGTTTTTTTGTTTTTGTTTTTGTTTTTTGTTTAATTTCATTGTGTAAGTGTATCACAGCTTCTTTATCCACTCATTTACTGATGGACACTTGGGCTTTTCCAAATCTTGGTTATTGTAAATAATGCTGCAATGAACATAAGGGTGCATATATTCTTTCAAAAATAGTGTTTTGGGTTTCTTCCAGTATATTCATGGAAGTGGAATTGCAGGGTCAGAAGGCAGTTCCATTTTTAATTTTTTGCGGTAGCTCCGTACTGCTTTCCATAATGGCTGCACCAGTCTGCATTCCCACCAATAGTGCACAAAGGTTCCCATTTCTCCATATCCTCGCCAACACTTGTTTGTTGATTTTTTTATGATAGTCATTCTGACAGGTGTGATGTGGTATGGTATCTCATTGTGGTTTTAACTTGCAACTCTGATGATTAGTGACATTGAGCATCTTTTCATATGTCCATTGGCCATCTGTAGGTCCTCTGTAGAAGTGTCTATTCAGGTCCTTTGCTCATTTTTTAATTGGATTGTTTGTCTTCCTGGTGTTGAGTTTTATAAGTTCTTTATAAGTTTTGGATATTGATTGGCAAATATGTCCTCCCATTCAGTGGATCGTCTTTTCATTTGTTGATAGTTTCCTTTGCTGTGCAAAAACTTTTTAGTTTTATGTACTTCTATTTGTTTATTTTTTTTCTTTTGTTTCCCTTGCCTAAGGCTATATATCAGAAAAATTAAGGGGTAGTTTTCTTTCCTGTGTCTAAAGGATGGTACCTTTGAAGACATCATGACTCTGCCCCCAAAGAATCCCAGTGGCTTTCATTTGTAGGGTGCTAGGACCCAGAGGCTTGTTCCAGAATTTAAGGAATGTTTTTAAAAAAAACTGCTTTTAAAAGTTGTATTCTGAGTGTCTGCCTTACAGGGTTTTCTCTTATTGTCAGTGGTTTTCTTTCTTTCATACCTGATTTTCAAAACTCTTTAATGTATGTTATCTGACAATATTAAGGTTGATTCCACACTTAGTTTATATCTGAGTGAAACAGTTTTGTAGTTTGTCTATAACCTGGATAGCAAGGTACACTTTAAGTAAGAATCATGTCTATTCCTGGCCCAAGACATTTACAAAACTATTCTAGAGTCCTTCAGGGAAAATTTTGCTCGATCTTATGGTTAATTGTATCAGCTTTAAAGAAATTATTTCCCCCTCAATGACTAAGACTCAGTATTTTAATATATTTGTCATCATTGTATATTCATTTCCAGTTTCAAAAATAAAAGTAAGGCATTTTCCTTGAAAATATCCACAACTACCATGTATACTTTCTTTTGAAAATAGTTAAGTCCAGCTTCAGCAGATACCTCTGGAGGCCTCGCTGGAAGCAGTGATAACAGCAGACCACTGCCTCCCTTACTGCACTCTCCCTTGGCCCTGTGTCACTTTTTGTCTTTTATCAGAAGTTAGGTGTTGGTATTCTTCATCTCTGTCACAGTAGGTCAGTGAAGGAATGTAAGTTTCTATTCATTTACTCCTGGCAGAAGGGCTAAAGAAGTCTATTCTCACTATTAGACCCTCATCTAGCCTTTATCCACCTAATTTTTTTATTCTTATTAGTCATTTGCTTTTTATCACTTTTTCATTCACCTTCCACATAAATTTTATTCTCACCCAAAATTTGTAATATGGATGTTTTAAGTCTGTATATCTGCTCAATTTCTCTAGAAATATTTTTATTTTATATTTACAAATATTTTTTACCTCAAGTAAAAGTTAGTGAAACTGTGTTTAAAAAAACAAAACAAAAACATGCTAAAATACATTTTCGGCAAATCACAGACATTTTTTCAGTCCTTTATAAAATATGTCCTTTTATACCCAGCACCTCACCCCGAAAAATGAATATTTTTGTGTATCAATGAAGCAGTAAGAATGGATGACCAGAATTGGGTGGGGGTAGGGGAAGGGCCTGGAACCAAGCACTGGGAACAATCCTGCCTCGGCCACTCCTGTCTGCTCCCATCCCCACAACTCCCAGAACTGAGAGGCTTTGGGAGGCCCAACTATTTTGCCTCCTTCTGCAGCTGCTCATCAACTTTTTCTAGAACAACCGCAGGGACCCTATATTAGACATTTCAGTCTACTCTGCTGTTTACTTCCCACCTATGGTCTCTATTTTCTCTTAAATGGCTGCATTAAAAGAATCAGAAGTTGATAATCACATCCTCTAAGTCTTATTTACAGCCCTGTTTCTCTTAGTCTCTCAAAAGGCCTAAGATTATAGTCCTGGTTGATTTTTCTCAAACATCCTTGCTGCGGGCACTAAGGCAGCCTAAAAGTCACTTTGATTCTTACTAATGTCGCTGTTGTTCAAAACAGAAGTCTTGTTCCTGCATGTAGATCTCAATGCATGAAATTCTCAGTGTCCTCGATGATAGCAGTTCCTTGATCACTGGTCTAGATTTTTAAGTTGAGTCTGTTTAGTGAAGTACCTGAGATTTCATGCTTCTGCACTAGACAATTTACTTTACTGTTTAGAAATCCTTTTTTTTTTTTTTTTTTTTTTTTTTTTTTTTTTTTTTTTTTAATTCTCTTTGGTTCTTGGCTAGGGTTTGATAACTGGAGTTGTTAGATGAGTGACTGACTGAAAGTAAAAATTAATACTGTAATACTGATTCTCATAGATCTTAATTTTCTAACTTTATTTGCTCTTTGGTTCAATCAAGATAACATTTTAGTGCCTACTATAAATATGCTTTACTATTTTGTTAGAATATCCTTCAAAAACCAAAGAGGAAAACAGATAAGCATTTGAGCAGTGAGTGTGTTAGTTTTATCCATTTGGTAGTATTAGAACTAAATGATTACATGAAAGTGCTTTTGGATTTGTGAGGAGAAAAGGATAACTATGGGCTGTGGTAGACGAGCTTGATAGGTTTGTGAGGGAATGGGGCTTGAATTGGCTATCAAAGGTTGTAGAAATTGAATAAGTGATTTTTCAGTCAAAAATAAACATACAAAAAAAAAAAAAAAAAAAGCAGAATATAGATCAAATATTAGATTTAAAAAAGTAGTTGTTTAAGCAAGCCTTTTATTGACTAAGAAGATAAGATTCTACCCAATTTGCTCAGTGGAAAGAGCATCAGGGTCCTGGGTTTAATTCCATTCAAGGGCATGTATCTCGATTGCAGGTTGGATCCCTGGTTCTAGTTGGGGCATGTGCAAAGGCAAAGGCAGCCAATTGATGTGTTCCTCTCACATCGATGTATCAGCGTTTCTCTCTGTCTCTTTCTCTCCCTTTTATTCTCTAAAAAGTCAGTGGAAAAAATATCCTCAGGATAAATTTTGAAGAAACAAATAGAGATCAACTCCTAGGAGTTTCAGGGTATTTAGAAAGTTTTACTAAGCCATAGCTTAATGAGAGTAAAGTTGTATGTTATAGAAGTAATAAGAGAGGAAGAAGAGTTAAATTGCATTATCAACAGAAAGACTCAGACACATGGGGAATCCAGTTGGGGGGAATCTTTATGTGGCAGTGGAAGTAAATTTTAAAGGTATGGGGAAACTAATCAGGTTGATTTCACTTAGCAATCCTCATGAAAAAAATGAAGGTCTATAAGGGTTCTTTTTCACAAATGTTTTAGGACTCTGATTTTAATCCTAAGCATTACTAAAAATGGAACTTGCCCTTTATCTCTCAAAGCCAATTTACTCTATTATACTTTGTGGATATCTGGGTATCTTTGCTGATGTTTTACAGAAGTCAACAGCTGTATTGTCCACTCTGACCACAAGGTTTTTCTGATGCAATTCACTTACCTAGTCATCCTCATCTCATTAAGTACCTTTTTCTCTACATCCTTAACTTATATTAGGAATCTCTTACTACAGAGAATTCTATATCCTGTTCTGTTTCAAGCTTCTAAAATCTCTTTAACCAAACACTTTATTGTGAAGGGGTTAAAAAAAAAAATAACATCACGCCCCCTAGCTGGTGTGCATGTGGACCGAGGGTCCTGGGTTTGGTTCTGGTCAAGGGCACATCCCCAAGTTTCCGGCTTGGTCCCCAGTAGGGACATATAAGAGGCAGATGATCAATGATTCTCTCTCATCATTGATGTTTCTAATTCTCTCTCTTCCTCCCCCTTCCTCTCTGAAATCAATAAAAAAAATTTTTTTTTAAATAGCATATCTAGCGGGCTTCGGTGTCAACATGACCAAGTCCAAGAACCACAGCATGCACAACCAGTCCTGAAAGAAAATGGTATCAAGAAACCCTGACCACAAAGATAATCTCTTTCGAGTGTAGACCCCATGTTCCTAAGGAACAAGTACAATAAGAAGGGCCTGAAGAAGATGCAGGCCAACACCAAGGCCATGAGTGCACTTGCCAAGGTTATCAAAGCCCTAGTAAAGCCCAAGATCCCAGCAGCCGCAAGCTCAGCCAGCTTACCTACATTGCTCACCCTAAGCTTGGAAAATGTGTTCGTACCCGCATTGCTAAGGGTCTCAGGCTCTGCCACCCAAAGTCCAAAGACAAGGCTCAAACCAAGCGCCAGGCTGCTGCTGCAGCACAGGCTCCAGCTCAGACTGCCAAAGGTGCCCAGGCCCCCACAAAGGCTCCACAGTATAGGCCTCTGTCTGTCGGTGTGAGGACAGAGGATTGGTGTGACACCTGGGCTGCTGTCTGCTTGGAGCTGTTGTCCCCCTGTGTACATTTATTGTGCAAATAAATCTGAGGCAGAGGAAAAAAAATTATCTATTTCCTAAGTTGGCATTCTTTTTCATTTAAAATACTATATGTCAATCACAGTTTGGACAAGTTTATGTAAGTGCTTTTTAAAAAACTAGATTACTTTACTATTGGACTAGCTTTATGCAGTTAGCTGTTATTTGTTTATAGTTGGACTAGAGGACCTACCGGTGCACAAAATTTGGGCACTCAGGGGTAGGGTCTCAGCCCGGCCTGCACCCTCTTGCAGTCCGGGACCCTTTGCTTCTTACCTCCCATCTGCAGCAGAGGTGGGAGAGGCTCCTGCCACTACCACTGCACTCACCAGCCGTGAGCCCGGCTTCTGGCTGAGCGGTGCTCCCCCAGTGGGAGCGCACTGACCTCCAGGGGGCAGCTCCTGCATTGAACATCTGCCCCCTGATGGTCAGTGTGCATCATAGTGACCAATCATTCTGTTGTTAGGTCGATTTGCATATTAGAGTTTTATTATATAGGATAAGCCATAGTAAAACACTTATTTGAGCAAGATGTTTTTCGGCTACTAGTGCCATTAACTAGGCCAGAGTGTAGGGTGTTTTCCTACAAGTCAGCTTTCAAGAATTTGAAAACTATCCTGAATACTGGTCTTTGCTTATTATGTAATTAGAGATTTTTAAGATACATTCGACATTCATAGTCCTCACTTGGAATATGTGAGGGGTTTTAATTGCATTTTGTTTGATTTTTATAATGGTGGGCAAAGTCCAGATTCAGTGGATTCAGTATAAGGTGTGTATATGTTATTTCCATATCGCAATATGTTCGTTTTGGTAAAATAGAGAGGAAAGGGAATGGCATGTAGTTTTAGTTCTGTAGTGGTGTTCCTCTAGTAGCATATTTATTTTAGCTCATCTCACAGAGTGTTCCAGCAAGATTGTTTTAAAGGACTTTCACCTTACTCAGTGTTTAGATGTGACACATACAAGAGCTCTAAACCTGATTTTTATTTTAAACTAATAAAATATTTATCTTTTTTGTATTTTTTATCGCAGACTTGATATATATAATTCATGGTGAAATTAATCTCTTAAAAATTTAGGCCTTAGTTTTTCCATGCTAAACAATTAAAGGAGAAATTCCCATAATGCTTGCAATTTTGAACTTGAATTGGGAAGGTCTTTTTTGAAAGATACATCCCAATAAATTATATTAACATAATTGTAATTAATTTAATGCTTTCAACTAGTAACATATAGTATTTTTACCTCAATCTATGTGAATTGAGGTGGCTAATTTTATAGCCCTCTTATATGTGGCTTTCTCAGTATCTAACTTAGCGTGACATTATTCTAAGTGCCAGAATTGCTCATGAGTTACCAAGAGAGGGTCTAATCTTTAGTTTCCACATATAAGTTATTTTACTGAATCTTAGCATGTTATGATTTACTGGCATGTATACTAATTTAGGTGGAATGCACTATGACAACAGGATTCATTCTGTCACTCAACAGGCTTTGTCTGAATGTTGGGTGCCAGATCGGGGCTGGGCACTGGGTGTGGGGGCATGGGAAGGAGGGAGGGTGGTGGGAGGGCCAAGAAGAACAAGGCATTATAAAGTATTGAGGGTTAGAACAGGGAAGAACTTGAGCTGTGTGCTTACTGAGAGTAAGAAGGGCTTAATATTTGCATTAGAAGATCAGAATTCAGAACATGCAAACATAAATATGTTTCAAGAAGTTAGTAGGTTTTGAATACAAAAAATTGTGAAAACTGGCTTTATGTTTACTTAATTTACATATTTTTCTCAAAGGTAGAAGTGATTAAAAATGAAAAAATATTTTATAAGAACTGTCTCAATTTTAATCTTAAAGGAAATAGGCATATCCTTTACCATTCTTTCTTGAAAATTAGAACATTAGTGCCACCAGTAAAAGAGAAATTAACTAATTTTGCATAATCTCTGACGTCTGTTTTTACAAGTGGATATAAAGATGACTTTTACATCCTGTTGCCTTTTGACAGCATTATATATCAAATACAGAGAAAATTGATTAAGTGTGGAGAAAAATTATATAAATTAAATTCAGAACCATTTTCTGTTTTTCATAATAAAATGATTGCTCAAAGAATTCCATCTGATGACTGTTGAAAGCTCACTGCAGTTTGTGATATAACTGATAAAATCTGCATCCTTGGCCTTCCAACAACCTTTATACCAGCAGATGGTGGGCGTAAAGATGTCATTCATCATTTATTTACAATGGACTTTATTTATTCTAGTGTCAACAGCTGCCCCAGGGAGTGGGTTATTGAATTCAAATGTGAGGCTCTGGGTTATTTGCTTCCTTTCAAATTTGTCTTCAGAGCTTAGTTGCTAGGAGTCCATTCTGTGCTCTAATAATGATTCATGTATTGTGAAGCCATTCAGTAAATTGGGTTGTCAGGGATTGCCAAAAGAGGTTTAGAGGTCTTGGGGGTAGGGAGGTTGCATGTGCATCTGGTTGTCTGGTTGACTTGAGCAATAGTAGTAGTATGTGACTTTTTCCCAAGATTGGTGAAGCTAGGTTTCCTTCTTTTCCTTTATGCACTCATTCCCTACCTGCCCATATTCTACACATGAATAATAAGGAAATGAAGAGGACAATTTATTAAAGGAAATTCTCAACCTTTTCTTTTCTCACAGGCAGGGCAAGAGTCCTTTCGTTCCATCACGAGGTCATATTACAGAGGTGCAGCGGGGGCTTTACTAGTATATGACATTACAAGGTGAGAACTTAGAAAATTTTCAGTTCAGTGGTCAATGCAAAGAATTTTTCTAAATAAAGGTCGTTACCAGTAATAAAAGTATAGTTTTGTCTTTATGCTCTAGCTATTTGCCTTTAAACTTGTATTTCTTAAAAGAAATATAAATTTACTACAGAAATTTGTAATTAAATTATTTTTATATATGTAAAAGTACCCCCAGGTTAATCGATTTGGTAATATTAATTATATAATAGAAATTTAATAAAGTGCTATTACATTTAATTTCTAAACTGAACTATAATCACTGGATTTTAAATCCAAATATGTACTTGAAACCTGTTGTCATTACATAAGTGGATGTGACTAAAAATAGTTATCTTTAATAAGTGTTCATTGTACACTGTGAGGGGAAATCCTTTGACAATAGTAATAAAATTATCATTTATGTTTAGGAGAGATACATTCAACCACTTGACAACCTGGTTAGAAGATGCCCGCCAGCATTCCAATTCCAACATGGTCATTATGCTTATTGGAAATAAAAGGTAAAGGGGATAATTTAAAGTTTTTTTAAATTAATTATGAAGACTGTGGATAGTTGTTTATGTGATGCACTGTTGAAGTACATTTGTCCAAATGTAAGTTAATGGTTTCTGAAATTATAAAATTTTGAAAAGCCTAAGATTTTTTTTTTTAATTAAAATTAGGTGACATTGTTTAATAGTATATAAGTTTCAAGTTTTTTTGCTACATGATCTGGATATTGCATTGTGTGCCCACCACCCAATGTCATATCATCTCTCGTCACCATATATTTGGCCCCATTTACTCTTTACTACCCCTATCCCAACTCCCTTCCCTCTGGTAACCACTATCTATTGTCTGTGTATATGAATTTTAGTTTTATATTCCACATATGAGTGAAATAATTTGGTTTTTAAAATACAGAAAATAAACTTGGTTGGAAATTACTATTTCAAGTAGTCTTTTGTTCTTAAAATCCCGAAACACTTAAAATTTTTTAGTAGGTATTACATTAGTACTTTTAAACTTACCTGTAAGGCTTTATTTTAGTGTCATATTAATGTTTTTTTCTTCCAAACTTTATATTTCTAGGGAGCATTATCTGCAACAAATGTCCTTTTGCTTTACATTTAAAAAGATAGTACCTGGGAAAATGTTCTTTCCCGTAGTTTCTGTAAATTTGTAAGAGTGTGGGAAAGTTATAACTAATTTTAGTAGAAAATGAAATTAGTATTTCTGAAATGCTAGACATAGTTCATTCATTCTTTAGGTTTATAAAATAGTGTTAAAAGATAATGTTTTTAGAAAGGTAAAATCATGATTCTTAAATGATAATGAACACATCAAAGCTTTTATTTATCTCATTCATTAATAAAGGGAACCAGTAAGATTTTTAAAGTTTATTTAAAAGAGTACACAGAGTGCCATATTTATAATCAAATAAAGAATGCCTACATGAATTTACAGATGGATAAAAAACTGAAAAATATCCATAGGATGATAATTATATTTCAAGAGGTCTTTTCAGTCTGCAATTTCTACGAACCACATTATTTCCAATATTATCTGCTTTACAGAAGTTATTTTCTATCTTTTGCAATCTTTGAGAATTTGTGGGATGCAGTAAAAGCAGTGCTTACAGGGAGATTATAGTAATTAAATACTTACATTAGGAAAATGTTTCAAATCAATAATCTAAACTTTCACTTGAAGAATAAAAACTAAAACAATAAGAGAAAATTAAACCTAAGGTAAGAAAAAAAAAAGGTGGTAATAAGAAAATCAATGAAACCAAAAGTTAGTTCTTGAGAAAAGATAAATAAAATAATATTGATCATGAAAAAGACACATGACCAATATCAGGAACTGCTTATCTTCTACAGATACCACTACAGATACTTCAGATATTATAGGGATAAGAGAATATTATAAACAAAATCAACAGATTGAGGAGATGTTGGTCAAAGGGTACAAACCTATAATTAAACAATGAATGAGTTCTGGAGATCTAAGCACAGCATTGTGATTGTGGTTACCAATTACATACTTCAAAGATCCTAAGAGACTAGATCTTAAATGTTCTTAACACAACATGAAATAATTGTGTGACATGGTGGAGGTGTTAGTTAATGTTATGTTGGTAATCATATTGTTATGTAAATGTATCAAATCAATAAGATCGTACAACTTAAACTTACATGGATTATGTGTCAGTTATATCCCAATCAAAAATAAATTATTCCTAAATAATTAAAAACTATTTTCTTCATAGTTATTTGGTTCCTCAATTCAAAGCTATAGTTACTTTAGTCTTCCTAAAATTCCTATATTAGGTGACTGCAACTTTAGAGTTCTTAAGAAAAAATAAATAAATAAACCTAAATAAATAGACTGTGGCGTGGATAGAAAACTAAATATTTTTAAGATTTATTTAAAGACTCATTGTAATCCCAAGATTCATCAGACATTTTTTTTAGGAGGTAGAAATAGACAAGCTGGATTTCATTTTATTTTTTGTTATTCCTCACCCAAGGATATTTTCCCATTGATTTTTAGAGAGAGTGGAAGGGAGAGGGAGAGACAGAGAGAGAAACATTGATGTGAGGTACACATCAGTTGGTTGCCTCTGGCACAAGGCCCCGACTAGGTTTGGGGAAGGAGCCTGCAACTAAGATAAGTGCCCTTGACAGGAATTGTCCCAGGACCCTTCAGTCCATGGGGCAATGCGCTATCCACTGAGCCAAACTGCTTTTTAAATTTATATGAAAATATAAATTTGGAGGATTCACTAATAATAATTTCAAGATTTATTATGCTACTATGATCAGTCTGATAATGGCATAACACCATATATAAAAATTAAGTCATAGACCTAAATGTAAGGGCTAAAAGTATAAAAAAATTCTAGAAGAAAAAATTTTAGGGTCTCCAGTATTGTGAAACATTTCTTAAATAGGACAGAAAAAAGGCATAGGAGGAGGAAAATAAATTATACTTCAACAAAATTTAAAATTTCTCTTCAAAAGATATTGATAGTTACAAAAATGAAAAGGCAAGCTACCAGCTAAGATAAAATATATGTGGAACATATATCTGACAAAAGATTGGAATTTAGAATAAATGTAGAATTCTCCTAATTTGTTAATGAAAAGACAACCCAGTTTTTAAAAAGATCTGAACTAGCACTTCACCAAAGAAAACATACAGATGATGGCAAGTAAGCACATGAAAAATATTTTACACTACTAAATCGTGAGGGAAATGCAGATGAAAACCTCAATGATACATTATTGCACACTCACTGAAATGGCTAAAATTAAGAAGATTGACATAGTAAGTGTTGGCAAAGATGTAAAGCACTGAAACTCATATACAGCTGGTGGGAGTATAAAGTGATAAAACTTTTTAAACAATTTGATAGTTCCCTTACAAAGTAAACATGCGTCTGCAATATCACGTAGCCCCGTGGTCAGCAAACTGAGGCTTGTGAGCCACATGTGGCTCTTTGGCTTCTTGAGTGTGGCTCTTCCACAAAATACCACGGCCTGGGCGAGTCTATTTTGAAGAAGTGGCATTAGAAGAAGTTTAAGTTTTAAAAATTTGACTCTCAGAAGAAATTTCAATCGTCGTACTCTTGATATTTGGCTCTGTTGACTCATGAGTTTGCCAACCACTGACCTAGCCATTTCACTCCTAGGTTTTTACCCAATATACACGTTTCATGTGTTTACACAAAAAAATTATACTCAAGTTTTTCATAGCAGCTTTATTTGTAACAGCCCAAAACTGGAAACAACCCACATTTTAATTAACTGGTGAATGAATAAAGCCATACAAAGAATACCACATAGTAATGAAGAATGAGCTATTGGTATGTACAACAAAATAGATGAATCTCAAAATGATTATGCTGAGTGAAAAACACAGACAAAAAAGAAGACCTAGTGTGTGATCCTATTTATATATATTCTAGAAAATGCAGACTAATCTATAGTGGCAGAAAGCAGATCATTAGTTGCTGAAGGTACAGGTGGAAGAGAGAATATTATTACACTGGGGTATGAGGAAACATTGTGGAAGCTGATGGCTTCACAGCTATACACATGTCAAACTATATTAAAGGTAGTTTCCTTTATGTCAGTTATGCTGTTAAAAAGATAACAAATAACAGTATACTGTATAGATTTGATTATAGAAAGTATTTTTTTAATAGAAATCTAGGTTTGCTGTTAAAAGAAAATATCTATTTAAGCAATACTTCCATTGTAAAAGGCTAATATTTTATTTTGTAACCTGATGTATGTATTATCTTGGCTTTCACTCAGGGGCTTTCTTGTTTATCCTTTATTCATTTAAGTCGCCTCACTAAACCATTTAAAAGTAAGATTGTTGGAAGGAAGTTTTAGTCTTTGTAATATGGAAGTATTTATACTGTCATTCAGTGGTGATGTATGAAATAAGAGGAGAATATTTGGAGAGGAAAAGGAATTTTTATATATTTATCTCCAGTGTTTTCCTATGTGTGAAACTTGATGGGTGGCTTAAGTTAGGTTGCCTATGATGAGCTTATAGTATATACTAGAGGTGTTTCTAATGATTATAGATGAGTGGCCCATACAATTAGGGATATAGTAGCTATGGAAAGTCATTTTAGGAAAGAAGCCAGAAGAAAGTAAAAAAGAATGTATGACATGCAAAGAGTGAATGGGAGTGAGCAGAGATAAATGAGGTGATTATTATTAGATGAGATGAACTGGGGTAGACATGGAAACAGGGAATAAGCAATTTTTGAATTAGATGCATTAAGCACTAGGGAGCCAATGAAGAGATTTGAGAAGGGCAGTGACCTAGTCAGAGTGACAGATAACACTGATTTTTCTTACTTTGGCATTTTAAATTGGTTATACAAGAAATAACCAATATTAGAAAGCAAAATCTACAAAGATAAAAGTTTTTAATAGCTAAAGGATTAGCATACAAATCTTAAAACAAAAAGTGGGCATAGTAAAAGAATGATTTAGGAAAGAAAGATTTAAGTAATGAAAAGCAACTTAAATGGGACTAATGGGGATGAAAAGTGAAAGACGACAACATGATTTTATGCCTGGAAAACAGGAATTGACCAAAGTAGGATGATAAAACGGAAGAAGACCATGAATAGCTGTGTCGCTTCCTCTTTGAACAATTCTTCAAACATCTAGGTTCTTAACCCTCTTTGCTAAGATAACATTTCAAAAGGCAAACATAATCAGATCCTGATATGGGAATAACTTTAAATATTCCCATAATAAGAGATTGTTTCAGTAAAACATGGCATATGCATAAAGTGGAGAAAGGGGTAGTAAGAAAAAGGTATTTTCCTGAAGGTTTTGTGTAATTCAAAGCTAATTTTCCTTTAAGAATGATTGTCAGATAAATGAGCTGAATTCAGAAGCATGTATTCCCATCCCCTGTCACTTCTTCCCCACCCCCAAATTTTTCATTCCCGCTAGAGCAGCGGTCGCCAACTGGTGGTCCGTGAGGTCCAAAAGGTTGGCAAACACTGTACTAGAGTATAAGGTCCATGAGTGCAGGGGGAGTTGGATTTTTGTCTATTTTGTTGACTAATTTGTTCTGGGATCCAGGTAGAGTCTTGACTCACAGGAGACCCTCAGATTATAGTTGGATAAATATCCTTGCCTAATTAATGCTAAAATAGTTTGCCTGTTTTTTAAGTTCTCATCTTGCCATTAATATTTTATAGTACAATCACTTTTATACTTGCTATTACCTTTATAGTATCTTATATCACACCTAACATTTCAGGTGGGGTGTGTGTGTGTGTGTGTGTGAGAGAGAGAGAGAGAGAGAGAGAAGAGAGAGAGAGAGAGAGAAAGAGAGAGAGAGAGAGAGAGAGAGAGAGAGAGAGAGAGAGAGAGAGAGAGAGAGAGAGAGAGAGAGAGAGAGAGAGAGAGAGAGACTTAAAACAACACAAGTTTGTAATCTGGCAGTTGTGGAGGTCAGAAGTCTGAAATGAATTTTATGGGGCTAAAATCAAGGTGTCAGAAAAGCTGTTTCTCTCTGGAGATAGCGGAAATCCATTTGTTGTCTCAGCTACTAAGGGCTGCCTACATTCCTCTGCTTAGAGCTGCATCACTTCCCTCTCAGCTTCCATCAACACATTGTCTTCTTCCATGTCTGATTTTTAGGAGTGTTTTATCAGCACTTGTTAAACTGAATGAATGCTTAGATGGCATTTAATAAATCATGAAACATTTCTAAAGTGTAACAACTTGTGAAGGTTACAAAATAGTCACCAGAATCACCCACAGAAGTTTCAATCACAGAAAGGAGGTAACTGATAACAGCAATTTGTAAACATCATGACAGCTTACCAGTCAGCCAGCTTTGAGGTTATGAAGTTCCTGCTGAATTTTGTAAAGCTGAAACACTGACATTGCTTAACATTAGGTGAATGAGACTTTAACATCTTTGTTTTGTTTGTATTATTCCTAACTTGTGCAGTGCAGATTTGCATAAAATATACTGCCATCTTTACTGTGTACCAGTAAAAATAATATTGTAAAAGACTGCAAAAATGACATGGGAAAATGATCCACGGGATAGTCAATGGGAAAAAAGCAAATTACGATGAATAGTGATTACGAGTATATTCCGGTAGGGAAAAACAAAATGAGTTATATAGAATTATATTCACCAAGATGTTAATTACTTGGGAAAAGTAAATTATGGCTAATTTTTTTCTTTGTATTTTCCCTTGACAAAAGTTCTTCAATATAATTGGTTATCAGAAAAGGTAATCATTAAAAAATGTTTTAATGATTCAGTACAGCACAGTGGTCTGGATGGAATCACCCTACCAGCTTCTCCTAGAGTGTGAGCTTGGATCTATGGCAATGGAGAATTAAAAATGAATTGTTTCATTCATTCAATAGAATATAATACAACAGTAAAAAATTAAGAAACTAGACCTATATATATTATTTATATAAATCTGAAAAACATAATATTGACCAAAATTAGTAAGTTGTAGAATGATAACTACATCTAAATTTTTTTTAATATGTAAAAACAAAAACAAAAAATCCTTCTTTACATGAGTATAAATATAAAAGTACCCTGAGAATGAAAATGCCAAATATAGAGTGCTGGTTACCTTTGAGGTAGGAGAGAAGAGAATAAGATCAGGAACAGATAGGCACGTGGGAGGCATTGAGCTGTATAACTACATTTTATTTTATTTCTCAACAGAAAAACTGATATAAACCCATCATAATACTGTGTCAATGCTAAATGGATATTATATTATTCTCTATACTTTTCTGTGTGCTTAAAATACTTTATAATAGTGAAGTTTCAAAACTTTTACAGTAGAACACACTTGCAATTAGACTGTTACTTTCCCTCTCTGCCTTACTAATACAGTTCCAGGATGATAAAAATGAATACCATGCTCCTGTCCCAGATTTCTAGCTTAGACTTTTGTTTCTCTTTTTCTATTAACAGCTTTACTGGGAATTAAGCCGACTTGGATTAATAATCTAATTAATATATATTCCTAGTACTTTGGATTTTATTAAGCAATTTCCTTTAGTTTCTGAGAATGTGTGACTTATTTTTAATCACATTCATAGGAAGTCAGTCTGGCTGAAGGATGAAGAAACTAGTGTAGTTCTGTTCTCTCAATTTATTACTTGAGTAAAATGGTTCCTTCTTTAGGAATCCACTATACTCAAAGGCAGGGTGTTGGGCTAGATGTTTCCTTTAGGTTTCTCTTAGTTTTGGCATTATAGGCTGTAATTCAGAATCTTCTGTTTGATTATTAGTTTTTTGAAACTAGACAGTGTTTCTAAACACTGTGACCCTCATAATACTCAGCATAATTCAATTGCTTATTATGTATTAAAAATTAATTGAAAGAATCTTTAGTACAACTTTGAAACTCTTGGTACATTTTCTACAGATGCCTCTATTTGTTCTGTGATCATTAATAACATGATGCTTTCTTTCCTGTGTTTAGTGATTTAGAATCTAGAAGAGAAGTAAAAAAAGAAGAAGGTGAAGCTTTTGCACGAGAACATGGACTTATCTTCATGGAAACTTCTGCTAAGACTGCTTCCAATGTAGAAGAGGTAAGTGGGTCCTTTTAAATGTTTATTATCTTTTTACTCCATACACTTGTTCTATATATTTAAATATTTATTACAATAGTATATCTTCCATAAGCTTTTAATCACTGATAGTCTTTGAATATCATAAAGTGGAAAAATTTCTTTCTTTGAAATGCCTTGTAACATTCATCTTAGATCAGACTCTTGACTTATATTCTGAGCCTTCTCTTAAAGCCAAAATGCTTTAACACATCTTTGTATATACATTTTCCCTAAAATCTTTTTTTATGTTGCATGAGAGGGAGGAAAAGGGACACTAATGAAGTTTGGAAATGTTTCAGAATGCTGAACATTTATAGCTTATTTATAGTCACTTTTGATTAAATAGGTAAAGTATTATTGCAGTATAATATTATACAAAGCATGGGAATTCTGCCATCTTTAATAGATAAAATTTGCAGTATCTCCGTTATTTCCATTAATCATCTTGAACTTTTGGAAGTTATCTGAACACATTATGTTCCTTTATGCTGTATATGTCTGCATATGATGTTAATATAGTGTACATTGATGAGTGTAGACAGTTAATCCTCTATAAGGTATATATATTGTTACATTATAGTTTAGAAAAAGTCGGAATGAAGCTAAAAATAAGCAGCTTGCCTAGAATAATGCTGTATTTCTACTTTTTGGGTAAGACTCTTAACATATTGCAGACCAGTAGTTTTATTGCTAGCTTTACCCAGTGGCCAGATAAGTTTCCATTGAACGAGTACAAAAAATGTTTTACATAAACGTTAAAGGCATACTTTAAAATTAAATGCCCATTGCATTTTGAAGTTATTTATTACATGTTCTTACAAGCTAGTATCTTTTTAAGGTATGATTGGCCATAAGCCTTAGAACAGAAAGCATGAGAATTCTCGGGATCAGTCCCCAATGTGTCTAGAAAACAAATGATTAGAGAATCTCATTGTTCTAAGGATAGTAGAGGATGAGGTCATAGGCAGCACTTAGCACTGTGCCTTAGACGTAGTAACCAGTGAGTAAATATTTATTAAGAATGATACTTGGAGTTCTTCTAATTAACCCATGAACCCAGAAATTGACTATAGTAATAAAACAGCATTGGTATTCACTGAAGAATTCTTTCTTAGGTAAGATATTATACTATCTATACTTGATTATAGATAAATGCTCTTGGTTGTCCTTATTGCATTTCCCATAAGCACCAACTAATGCTTTACCTGTTATTGCCAATAATTTCAGCTTGATAACATACAAGAGCAATGTCTCACTTCATACAGCAAATCCAGAGAGAAATATGTTCCATCACTTTGTTAACTTATAATAAAAATGCAAACCTAGGGCCAACATGATATGGGAGTTTCAAGAAATTTGAAATTATTATTAACTATGGATTTTCTTGTTGATTTTGCAAACCACACAGAAAATTGTATGCATTTTAATATAGTACCATACTATAGAGTCAGATAACAAGATGCCAACTACCTATAATAAAGCATAATATACAAATTGAACAGCGGACCAGCTGGCCGGCCAACCATGCTATGACACCCACTGGCATTAGGCCAACCAAGGCAGGTGCAATGCAATTGGTTAGGGGCCCGGCCATCACCCCATGATCACCTCACAGAGGTAGGTCAAGGCTACCTGGCTGTCAGTGGCACTGCAGCAGATGGGTGGGGTCTCCTGGACTGTGAGAGGGTGTAGACCAGGCTGAAGAGGGGACCCCCCTTGAGTGCACAGATCTCATGCATCGGGCTTCTAGTTGGAAAGTAATCCTAGATTTCTACTTCTATCTCTAATGCCTTTGTGTTCATTTCTCTTACTGTTAACAAGTAATAGGAGGTGATTATTTATAAGTAGCAAATTACTGTTGTGATTTAAATGAAATACAGGTATCTCCTCCACTTTCAAAAGTTCCCAATGCACCACTTTGCTTTATTGTACTAATGTAAGTCATTGGTGAAAATAAAGTGACATAATGTGAACTTTCAAGAAAGTAGAGGATGATTCTCTTCACTTTGTGCCATTTCAGCTTAGGAAAGGTTTCATAGGAACACTGTACTTCAGTTAGTGATGGAAACCTGGGTATTCCACTAATGTTTTGGCAGCACTTGTTATAAACATTCCATATCTATGGTTAATAATAAAAATAATTGTTTAAGCCGAAACCGGTTTGGCTTAGCGGTAGAGCGTCGGTCTGTGGACTGGAAAGTCCCAGGTTCGATTCCAGTCAAGGGCATGTACATTGGTTGTGGGCACATCCCCAGTAGGGAGTGTGCAAGAGGCAGCTGGTTGATGCTCTCTCATCGACATTTCTGGCTCTCTCTCTCTCCCTTCCTCTCCGTAAAACAATAAAATATATATATTTTTTTAAATTGTTTAAATTTGATCTGAGCAGGAATTCCTCATTCTCATGAGAGAACAGCATTTTATTTATTCATGAAATTATTTTGCCTCAGAAGCTAAGAATTTAAGAAATAATCTTTTTAATTTTTTTCTTTAATATATTTTTATTGATTTCAGAGGATGATTGGGGGAAGAGAGAAACATCAATGATGAGAGAGAATCATCGATCGGCTGCCTCCTGCATTTCCCCCATTGGGGATGGAGCCCACAATCCAGGTATGTGCCCTGACTGGAAACGAACCATGACCTCCTGGTTCATAGGTCGACGCTCAACCACTGAGCCACGCATTGGGCAGAAATAATCTTTATAAATCTATTTTTAAAGGAATTGTTGACAAGCATCCAACATAATAAAAGAATAATATGCAAATTAACCATCACTCTCTTACACAAGCCATGCCCACAAGCCAATCAGAGCAAGTATGCAAATAAACCAACCAAGATAGCTACAGTCATATACAGCAGGAGGAGGGCGTTTCTCCAGCAACGGAGGAAGCCAAGCTTTCCGCCTGCCCTTGCTGGCTTAGGCCTCCACTCAAGACTACAAAGTTTCAATTATAGAAGGTAAACAAATCCAAACAGAAACAGTTGCTGCCAGAGTGAGCAGGAGGCTTGGCTCTGCTCCAGGCTACAAAGCTTGAGTTGTAGAAAGTAAATATATCCCAGATACCAGGGCCTCTGATTGGGTCGCTGGGAGGCGTGGCAGACCTGCAAACCACCACAGGCCCCTCGCTCAAGCCCCAAGGGCACCCCCACTCTGATCCGGGACACCCTTCAGGGCAAACCAACTGGTCCACACCCATTCACCAGGCCTCTATCCTATCTAATAAAAGAGTAATATGCAGATTGACCATCACTCCAACACACAATATGGCTGCCCCCATGTGGTCAAATATCCTGCCCCTATCTGGACACAAGATGGCCAGCAGGGGAGGGCAGGGAAGGGACCGGGTCTGCAAGGGAGGGCAGTTGTGGGTGATTAGGCAAATAGGGGAGTGCAGTTGGGAGGCACCAGGCCTGCAAGGGAGGGCAGTTGAAGGCAATCAACCCTGCAGGGGAGGGAAGTTAGGGGTGACCAGGCCGGCAGAGGAGGGAAGTTGAGGGCAAACGGGTTGGCAGGGGAACAGTTAGACATCAATCAGGCTGGCATGGGAGTGGTTAGGGGTGATCAGGCTGGCAGGCAGAAGCGGTTAGGGGCAATCAGGAAGGCAGGCAGGCGAGCAGTTGGGAGCCAGCAGTCCTGGATTGTGAGAGCGATGTCTCAGATTAGAGAAAGTGCAGACTGGGCTGTGGGACAACACCCCTCCCCCTGCCCTCATGCACGAATTTCGTGCACTGGGCCTCTAGTTACATAATAAAGTCATCCCTGAAATTTTACCTAAAAGCTTAAAATATTTTATTTATGATAAAGTGTTAAGAAGATGGTGGGCATTATATGTACTATACAAAAGGGTGAAAACAAACTTGAATCTCCTTACACAATTTAGGAACTGATTAAACTTGAAAATAGTAACCAGAGACTTCTGCATCTGGAAAGATGGAGTAGACTTACTTTCACCTGTTTCTCCTGCTAAGTACAACTAAAATTTTAAACACTCTATACAAAAAAATTATAAGAAGACTTTGAAAGATGGAGGGAGGAAAGGTGACCAGTTAGAGACCTTGGAACTTGAGAAATGAGACAGCAATGATTTCCCTTGGTTTTCTTTTTGCCTCATATGTCTCAGATTGGGTGCCAGAGAATCTGATGATCTAGGAAGGCTAACAGGTGCAGAGGAGCGGAAAGCTTACTCTGTAGCCAAAGGACCAGGAAAGGCACTGCCTAGCAAGACAGAAAGCTTTTAGAAAAGCAGTCTACTGCCCAGATGGCTGGCTGGCTGGCTCAGTGGTTGATTGTCGACCTCTGAGCCAAGAGGTCAAGGTTCGATTCCGGGTCAGGCACATGCTCGGGATCCCCAATAGGGGCGTGCACGGGGCAGCCTATCAGTGATTCTCTCTCCCTTTCTTTCTGAAGTCAATAAAAATGTATATGATTTTAAAAAAAGGAATACCATTCTGCAGCCAAACAGAAAAAAAATGAGTATTGCTTCCACTATCAACTAACTGTAATGATGTTCTTCCATGCTCATCATTTCCCCGTAGGAGCAGTGTCAGAGCAAGGCGTGCAAAGTATAGATTTAAAAAGACCCAGAGGCTAATGAAACAGTACTCCAAATGTCAAGTTTTCAATAAAAAGTCGCTTTTCTCAGCTAGAATCAGGAAGATCTCAAACTAAATGAAAAAGAAAAAAAAATGTAAACAGATGCCAACAGGAAGATGACAGATGTTAGAATTATCTGACAAAGATTTTGTTTTTAGACAACAATTATGAGTGCCTCAGCAAACAATTAGAAGCTTGTTTGAGCTAGCCGGTTTGGCTCAGTGGATAGAGCATCAGCCTGCGGACTGAAGGGTCCTGGGTTTGATTTCAGTCAAGAGCACTTGCAAAGGTTGCACACTTGGTCCCCAGTGGGGGTCCTGCAGGAGGCAGCCGATCCATGATTCTCTCTCATCATGGATGTTTCTCTCTCTCCCTTTCTCTCTGC